TAAAATGTTTCTTAATAATTTTCACATTAAATTGTTGTCAATCAGTCAACATTACATAAAATACCGTGTTTTTTACAGAATGTTTTCAATGATTGGTTGAAGAGACAAACATTGTTGAATTCAGTTTGCCATATCGATACCACTCCTTTTGCAAGAAAGTGAAAGTTTTAAAGAAAAATTGTGGTTCCATTCATTTAAAGCAAAGCAAATGCAAGGTAGTGCAAGGTAGAGGTTTGGTCCTATTCAGTATTCAAAAGAGCTGTTTGGACTTGAAATCATGCTAACACCAAAAGAACAAATTGCAATATTGACAATCAAACTCATTAAGAAATATCAATAATAACAAATCATAATCATTTTAAAAGTTTTCAAAACATGACATAACAAATAATCCAGTCTATCAAAAAACAGTGTTTATATAATCAACAGAAACCTCAATTGCGATGTACGATTTCCCAGTTCTTAATTCATTAAGTCTGTTAATGATCTATTTTTCAGTAATTTGCAGATATAGGAGAGGTTAAGCTTTGCATATATAATCGAAACTGAACCTGTACATATCACTCGACCATATACAAATTCATGTAGCCTTCTCATATAAATAGCCGTTCAAATCCAGTGTTTGTTTAGACTACACCATAGCGTGTAATGATTCTATAGTATGTCATTGATGCGGTTTTATAGCTGGTTTTCTAATACATATTTTAAACGAGCTCGTTTCGTAAGATTTTTGGCGCTAAATCATGCATGACATACATCATCGTATTCAGCAAGAATTCAACTGTACATCGAAATCAAAATTGACAGCATAGTGTTCAATAGACACGAGTAAAATGGTTCCCGTTGACCCAACGTCAAATATTCAAATCTCCCGTTCTAAACCCGAAACTCTGAAGCTGAAAGAGTATCTGAAGTAGACTAAGCGCGCATAAAACTATGAGCGCTCGATACATGCCTTTGTTAATTTTTGTACTTTGCGTTCACGGTTACGTTGTGAAAAACATTGTTAGCTTAACCTCTCCATAAAAGGCTAGATATGCCTTACAAGTAATGAGCAAGTATGAAAGACTGAAAAATAAATTAGTTGACAATACTGACTTCATTAATCAAATTGGTGTATAGTTTGTATAATTGAGACAAGCATATACTGTAAATATGTCATTCTACAGTATTGCATAACATTAGCTTTTCTTTATAACCTCCTACATTTAACTTAGTACATGTAATCAGACAATTGGAAAGCTGATAAGAGGACATTATTCAAGATATAACGGGAGGATATCAATACATAAAACCTTCATTATTGACACCATACTATTTGTATATTACTAAAATTATGAGGTAATATAGACTTATAACCATACTTTTTGAAATTGTATGTGAATATTCTACAACAGAATAATTCAATAACAAATTAGGCAAATTGAGATCTTACATAAAAAAAATAAAAATTGAGAATTAACTCTGTGAAATATTCAATTTCAATCTTGATTTATTTCCATTTGTACAGAAGTCACATTTTTAGCAAGCGTAATAACTATCAATATCAAACTAATAGGAGGTCACACATGGACAATGATTATGTAATCTATTTAACATGAGACAATATCAAATATAAGACTGATAGATTCCTCCTTTTTGGGAATGAAATCAAAAATGTAGATAAGTGTTATGTTTCTTCTTCACAGCATTGCTTCTCTTTAATAATGAAACCATAATAAATATATTAGGAGGATAAATCAATGGATGGTAATTTAATCCAATATTATCTTAATTGAAATGGTGATAACTTTCTCCAAGCTTTTAAAATGACATTTGAAATTGCATGGTCTAATCTTCTAAATGGTAATCCTTTTTAATTCGAGACTTATTTCAACTTGAAATAAATCAGTGTTCAATAAATAAGGTACTTAGAATTAAGTTAACCACTATGTTTTTTGATTATACAGAGTTCATATAATATAATTCGATAATGCTCAACATTATTCACATCTTTCTCTTGGCATCTTATATGTTACTAAGATGAAAATCTTACTCAAGACTTAAAAAACTATAGCTAGTAATTAGATAGCAATTAATAGCAAGTGATAATAATGTTAATATATTTTTCAAATAAACAACTAATACTATGTAGCTGCTTAGTTATTTCAATATTTGTGCAAACCTATATAGATGACTTTGCCAAACATGACAAGTATATATAGCTAAGTTGATAAGACTCTCAACAATATAGCTAATATACATGAACAAAATGATTATCAGGAAGATAAGCTACAGATACACAACATAATAGTCATGCTAGGAAAAAATGAAGGCATTATCACGATACAAAAACAAAAATTGCTGATAAACAAGATAAATTGCATGCAGAACCCACATGATTCAATACAGGTTGAACATTTTATATTTGCATATCGTGCTTTGGAAGATTTTTTCATTTATTTGTAATAATAATACAATCATTAATTTGGTTCTTTAAAATGGATAAGTAAAATGAAAACACTTCAGAAAGGTTGGTTGGACTACAATATTTTAATTCAATCTATATAATTTATGAAGGGCAATACACATTTTCATACGTAAATTGCACCATTGGAGGTTGTCACAAACAAATGAAAAATGAATGATTCTTCTGAAATTTTACAAATCAAAGATAACAAACACAAAATGGACAACAAATAAAATGTACTAATACAAACATCAAAGATGACCAGCATAAAATGGACAGCAATTACTTATGAGACAAGTGCTTCAGCTACAAAAACGTTCTTCCTAATTACAATGTGATTATTCATCTTCTGCATGGAATGTTTGATATATAAGTTTTAACAGTCTATTTAAACCACTAGACTTAGTCTAAGGTCTGTATTCATTCATTAATGATCTGTTCGTGCCAAAGGGAGAGTTTTTGCATTTTTAAGTAAAAATTCAACAATTTCAAGAAATGGTTAGGAACACTGCAAAGTCTGTATTTTATATACCCAGCCTATCGTCAGGCGCAATATTGGTCAATATTTGAGGTCTACTTTTGGTCTACTCATGAGGCGTACTTCTGGTCTACTTTTGGTTTTTCTCTGTGTTAAATCCCCATAGTCAGGCGCGTTTCAAATATTTAAATTAAGCCAAAAGTAGACCAGAAGTAGACCTCATTTAATGACCTTATCAGGTTTATCAGGTCTATATTTGAGGTCTAGACCTCATTTAAGCCTCAACTATCTGTAAATCAGGTCTATATTTGAGGTATACTTTTGGTCTACGCCTTATTTGAGGTTCACTATTGGTTTTTAGGTCTACTTCTCTTCTGCTTTTGGTGTACACCTTATGTTAAGGCACATTTCAATTATGGAAATTAAGCCTTAAGGTCTACTTTTGGTCTAGACCTCATTTCAGGTACAAGCCTCATATACCTGTAAGTAAGGTTAGGTCATGTTTTGTTGTTTCAAGTAGAAAAGTACTTAGTACATATCAGTACCCTCCATAGTTGTTAAATAAATTGCATTTATTTTGAATTGCTGTGTTGTTTTCTAGGATTAACTTGTCTCATGGATAAGATACAGGTCTATGAACACATTAGAAAGATGAAGCAAAAATTACACAGTATTCTTATATAAATTATATGTAGGCTTCTAATATGATGTATTTTTGTTTCATCATTTAAATTTAACAATATTTCAATATTTTATTATTTTCAGACATCCTTCTTTAGGTTTCCCAGATTTTGATTATTTTTTTAAGTTCTGATAAAAACCATTAATAGGGAGTTGAAAATACAGTTTACTGGTCTGTTAACCTAATATATTATAATCTGTCTCCTTCGTGATTCTGACAAAATACTACAGTAAGTGTGGCTTTTTCAGATTTATGTTTTCTAAGTTTTTAAAAAAATTCTATGTTTATCAGGTCTAGATTTGGTCATTTTATAAATGTTTAAGTTTTTAAGGCGCAGTTTTGGTCTATACGCCTGTCAGTGAGGTCTATTCTAAAATGTTCTTAGTTTATCAGGTCTAGATTTGGTCATTTTGAAAATTGTTCAAGTTTTTTAGGCGCACTTTTGGTCTATACGCCTTACAGTGAGGTCTATTCTAAAATCTTCTAAGTAAATGTGGTTTAGATTTGGTTTTTAAGGCGCAGTTTTGGTCTATACGCCTGAAAATAAGGTCTATAACTGGAATTATTGTGAGTAAATGAGGCTAGGTTTTGGTCTAAGCCTTAAAAATACCTGTAAAAGAGGCATACTTTTAGTCTAGACCTGAAAGTAAGGCGCATTTAAGGTAAACTTTTGGTCTACGCCTCAAAAACCTGATGATAGGCTGGGTACATACATTGTATATTGTAGTTAAATAAAATAAATCAGTTACTTTCAAAATTAGCAAACCGGAGTAGGATCCCTGAGATAGAATAAAGAAAACAACAAAAACACATAAAATGACATCGACGAATATACTTTGAAACATATTAGAATCAATTGTAGAACAAAATTAAATGGCATGATATTCACATATAAATGATATTGCTAGGGTAATCTATGAACTTAATTTATTATAATACAGAACCAATTTAGCCATTCAGCAAATTTATGAGCCAATTAATATTTACTAACAAGCCAGTAAATCACTAAAATGGAGTTGGAATATCTTCTAATATAATTCATATTTCTTGTGAGTTTTCAAATGCAATATGAAACCAAACAAGTTTATGAAATCAAGATAAAGGACGTCAAAGATATGAAGTTGTTTTGTTAAAATTCAGTAAAATGGCCTACAGCAAGCTAAAATAATGGTACTTGTTGGTGTTGTTTAAGGGGAATATTTGTAATGCTATTTGTGGAATTTTCCCAGGTAACTGCAGTAAAACTTCTTATATAGAGTTACCAGTTCTTTTTATATCTTTTAGGATTATCATTTTTACATACTATCTTATAAATCAATTTTACAGCAAGGCATGAAAGTGTCAATAACAACTGACACAAAAATGAGTAATTTAATTTGACAATTGAGAGAGGTGACGTCTCCTTTTATTCATCTCTAAATAAGTGTGAATCCAAGGCTGGTAAAGTGTTGCGACTACAGCTACTGGCATCTGAAAAAACAAATTATAGTTATAATGTAGATATCAAAAGAGATGTTTGCAAAATACTACTGGATATTGCCCTTGTGCTCTTATCCAGATAAAATATTATTTATTAGCAATTTAAAAAGCACATCATTGGGCTGGATCTGGTTAATACCTGTTTAATCAATTATAATCTTAACATGTTATTTTTCTTGTGTAATTTCAGTCGGTAGGAGATTGACCACACTGAAGGGAAATAACAATTAAATATAAAAGCTGACCGAAAGATTAATTCAGTAAATGTATACATTTCATGTATGACTGAATTGGTAGCTAGATGAGGATAGCTAGACTATTGGATGATTTGAAAAGAATCATAAAATGATTCAATAGATAAAATGTAAAATTAAAGCCATTACAATTTGTAATAAAAGACAGCTGTATATACAACTCATCTACAAAAAAGGTTAACATTCACATTCAAATATATTGCATATATGATATAAACAATTAGTTGGAATTCAGTACTGGAATCAAATTCAGCATGGATAACACTACAATGAATGTATTCAATGTCACTGCAATTGCAACAATGGAAATCTCAAATGAAACAATGTTACAATGGAGGAAGGAAGATGATGGAATCATTAAGGCTAGAACTCAATTCTTAATATCTATAGTGTTGTGCATGATAGCACTGATTATCAATATACTGTGTATCTTTGCTACACTTCATATACCAAACAAACTTGTTTGCTCTTACAAGCTTTTTCTAAGTCTTACCGTTGCGAACATTATTGGAGCCTTTTCTCACAGCATGTCAGCGACAAATCTGTACTTATTTCACCAATATGGATATGGCGGCTGGAATGACCGTAACTTAACAATCCTCTACGACTTTGCTCACATCGTCTACCTAACTGCCGTGGCTGCCTCAGAGTTTTCCATCCTTGGGCTAGCTGGAATTCGCTACATTGCAATAGTGCATCCATTTAGACATGATGAGTTGACACGGGATCGGTATCTGTATGCCTGGCTTATGATCATCTGGGTATTCAGCATCTTTGTTGGACTGTTGGTATGTATATATATGGTAAATGATGATGCGTACGTAATCATAGTGCACTACATCTGGCCGGCTTTGTTTATACTCATTTTCTTATTCATTATCGTTCTGTATTTACGAGTATATTGGGAAACACGAAGAATCCGAAATAATCTTGGATATGACATCGGCGAACTATTGCATAACTATTCCGCATTTATCACGACCATGATGCTTACAATGACACTAGTCCTTTGTGCAATACCTTACTGGATAATTGAACTATTGAAGAAGACACATCCAAATGATCAAGCAATTTGGACTGTATCACAGAACTATTGTCAATACCTTCCAGTTATTAACTTTATAATCGATCCAATCATATTTGCATCACGTACAAAAGATATCAAAGTTGGTTTTCGTCAGCTAAGGAAAAAACTGATCAATTTGTGTAACGGTTATAAGGGCTATACAAATTATAACAGGCACCAACAAAGTATGTGTTTGACGACAACTAAAATAGAAAGTGTCATGTAAAATAAAGAGCTTGATTGTGAAAAAAAGTCAAATTCTGCAAGAACTTTCTTAAATCTAATCTAATGGAATCAAGAATAGTCTTGAATAGGTATATAGCAAACAGGTGTATAATTAAGTAGGGGTAATGCACTTGGAGGTTTTGGATATTTAGAATATCATGAGGGATAAACAATATATATCCCATTGTAGGGAGATATATTGGAGTGAGATATATGAAATGTATTTACCTGGATATGGAATATATTTCCAGTTAATATGTCCCTGAAACCTCATTAGGTGTGTGGAATGCAAATTGTAAATATTATGATAAACTAGATCTGTATATTGAAATCTAAGTGTACTAGCCCTCTCGAATCAATGGGGACAATTATACATAATGAATTAAATTGTGCCAATGAAAAAATAGGAATTGTATATAAAATGTGATTCAATATAGTAGTGTTCATAGATTTTTAGCCTTTGGTTCTCTACCTTAGTACCAAGGTTTATGGCAATACATGTTTGGGTGTGGCTGTAATATAGACTTGATATAAGATTAGTTGTTATATGTGTCAATGAATGCTTTTAAAGTGTAAAAATAAAAATAGAATAATAATATGAAGCAATAACAGTTGTAAATAAATGCTTTCAGGTGTACATGTATATCAAACAATCAATTATTTTCTTAAATATATTGGCATTTTTACTGTTATAACATAAAATATCAGATATCTGCTATCCATAAAGGCCCCATGAGATCAAATCTTTCTGCTTCAAAATTTTTATGTGAATTGGAGACATGTGAGGTCCTTGTGTTTATTCATTTATATTGGTCTCAATTCAAAAGGGAAATTTAGTAACTACCCATTGTAAGCATTTACACACAAAAAATCCCCCTATGTTTCTATGTATGCAACTTACCACCTAATCAGGAATATACACAATTTGTGTCACCCACTCATTGTTATTTTTCAATGCATAGCTTTTTGAATGAATAAATAAATAATTTCAGAAAAGTGATATTCTCGGTTTGAAGAACGAAGTTCATCACTCTTATTTATTATTACTCCTGCTTTGGACAAATATATTTTTTTTACATAACATAAATTTGAATGTCTTCTTTTGAATATTCATAATTTAATTTGGGTGATACTTCTATATTTTTCATAAAAATGATTATTAGTCCAGGAGACTGAGACCTGGCGTTTAACATTTACTTCATTATAAGAGTACTTTTGCCATTAATAAATAAATGAAACCTAATTAATATGCCAATGTAATTTTATGTATTTTTATTATCCCTCATACCATACAGATCATGTCAGATGTCAGTATACATGAATGGGTACAACTAGCAAATATTCATATATAAAAGAGAAAGTGTGAAAGTGACTTAAGTCCACATATATTGTGTAATATGTGTTAAATTACTCTTGTTATTATAGTTAATAAAAGGTGTACTGCTTTATGAGATTTGTCTGTTAAATAACGAGATGTATGTGATATATAAGACCATAATAACTAGACAATAAATGTGTTAAACCCATGAATAACCGTTTCGTAACCTGTTTTGATGAACTTAACTTCAACTTAGTTGGCATTTCGGACAAACACACATTTTGCACAAAAAGGAAAAACAACACAAACCCCTATAAATCATAGTATAAAAACACGTTAAACAAGAAAACAGCATCTCCACAGAGTAGCAAATCCCACTGAACAAAATGTGTTTTGAAAAATAGCGGCCATCTTGAACATTTCCTCTGTAAGCATATGGAATTTAAACCAAATCTGGAGGCCATTTCTCGAAATTTATCTTTATTATCGAATTCGTTAATAGCGATTCGTGGATTCGTTTCTATGGACATGGCATCGTTAATGGAATAACGAGATCCCCATTCGTACTCCTAACATCAATCATGGATAAAAAAATAAACTAGACAGCAGCAACGCCAAAGCGTAGCAAATCCCATCGAACAGCCATGGCTGGTATTTTTACAAACAAAGTATATAGCAAAAATGGCAGCCATTTTTCAAAATGGCCACTTTCTAGCAAAAGTGTCATTCGACAGTGTGCCATGCTTAAAGTATTCACATACCAAATATGAATAAAATCGCTCCATTTCTTTTCGAGTTACAGTAAAAATCGTAAAATAACAAGTAAATGCCATCATTTTTCAAGATGGCTGCCATGTGCTTCTTAAATACGGACAGACGAAAGGACGGATGGAGGGACGGAGGCGTTCCCTAGATAATCATTAAAAATCATGATGTCATCGCGAATCGTTAACTTTCGAGAAACGGAAAAATCATTATTAACAATTGAATTAACGATTTGTTAATAACGAAACTTTCGAGGAACGGCCTCCTGTCTACTTAAGTATTTGAGTTATTAAAGATGATGTTATTTGCAAAAAGGGTGGCGATTTTGAAAATTGGGAATTTATCCTTGAGCAGAGCCCTTTTTTGACTAGGCATGACTGGTGGCCATTTTGACATTCAGTGGCCATCTTGAAAATGTCTCCTTGAGAAGAGCTGCTAGGCATCAGTATATGAAATTTCAACCAAATCTGCCAACTGGTATTTAAGATCAAAGATAACATTCTTTAATGTAAAATTGTGGCAATTGTTGAAATTCAGCTGTCATCTTAAAAATTCCTCTTCGAGCAGAGCTCTTGATAATCTCGTGAACCAAACCGTCAACTAGTATTTGAGATTTTTTGAGTATTTTTACGAAAAATGGCAATTTTTTAAAATTGAGCAGCCATATTAGTGTACTGCGCTAATATTTTTTTGCGAAAAATCTAGAAATATTACCCAAATTAAATTATGACTATTCAAAAGAAGACATTCAAATCTATATTATGTAAAAAAAATCAAATTTGTCCGAAGCAGGGATAATGCTCATTTAGATTGATGAACTTCGTTCTCCAAACCGAGAATCGTCCTTTGAATCAAATCTGTCAATCGGTATTTGAGTAATCACCCAGACAAACGAACAGTTAGACAGACAGACAGACAGACAAACAAACAGACGGATGAATGGATGGACAGCTTTCCTATATCTCATTCATATGAATGTTAACTACTTCCTTCACACTCCATATATGTACAAATATGTATTAAACAAATCTTTTTCTTATTATTGATTTGATGATATCACCTTCATTGCCATCGGATCTTATATTTTCAAAATATTAAGTTCATGATCGTGATAAACTGTCTGGTCATCAAACAGGTGTGAATCCTGTGTTGGAATTCTCTGAGCTCTATCTCACATCGAAAACCCCCAAAAATTATCATCAAGTATAGGGATGCCAGAGGTCCAAAATACCCTACTGTTTTGATTGTTTGAAAAAAGAATGGAAAAACAAATAATAAAGGTATCGAAACAGGATGAAGTTAAATTAAACATGTTAAATCATTCATAAACAACAGAAGGTTGGATAAGGTTTGAGTTGCACATAAATATAAACAGACAGGTGGAGAGAAACAGATATCTGGATCAATAGCTCCCGAAAGAGCAAAACAATTTGTTTCTAGTCTGATCAGAGCCTGACTTTAATTAGACAGCACCTCCACAGAGCAATAATAATTTATCCTATACCCAGCAAAACATATTTGATCAAATCACTGAATGTGAATATTTCCTGAGGGAAATAACTTGGCAGTAGTAGTAGTAGTGTCGATCTCCTTTATCCAAAAACTATTTCATGATACTATTTTCATCGTATAACTATACAGTAAAACCTGTCTAAGTGGAACACCTTTGGTACCTCTAAATAAAAAGGGTTCAACTTAGAAAGAGTTCCACTTAGGAGGTATTCTACTGACAGAGGTTTTCCACTTCTAGAGGTGCTCCACTTTACAGGTTTCACTGTATTTTGAATTTGGAGGACCTTTTGGAAATTCTTTCTTGTTTTTAAATGTTACCACAGTTGTTTAAGAACAATTAAAGTTTTTGCCAAAATGCTATTTTTGTGGAAAATGGAGGCTACGGAGCAGTCATTTTGAATAAGAACTATGAGCATAAGAACTGATATTTGAATTGAGCACAAGAATTGATATAAAGGCATCAATCTATAGAATTTGAACCAAATCTGCAAATCAGTATTTGAGTAATCAAATCATTTTGAATTGAGTGGCCATATTGAAAATTCCTTCACCATTAGATGTTTACTTTAGCCTATAGAATTTCAACAGAATTGGATAACTGGTTTTACAGTTATCACTTGGACTCACTTACTAAAAGACAAACAGATGGCATAAAAAAAGAGGGCTTCTCTGTATTACTTGGTTTTTGTTAAGTGGGATGATGACACGATCATCTGACGCAAATACCTGACATCCCACATATGTGACATTACCACCTGCATTAGATAATTGTGAATATCATGTTTAACTGAAATACTTTATGCTGGTATTTGAGTAATCATATTGTGCTGCCATATTGGAAACTCCTTCCCGAGTAATGTCCTATTCCCATGACAAATGTAACCCATACAATTTGGATCAAATCAAATAATTGGTACTGAAGTTCTCGAAAAGAAAAGTTCTTCGTCCCCACACAAGGCATTTTGCACCCTGTAAACAATGAGAAGATCGGTCTGGTTTCAAACTCAGCATAGACCTTGACATTCTTGAAGAGTGGGCACTAAGTTGTACTCTATAAAACCTTTTATTTGTATTCTCGCGATATCTCATTTTATGTAAATTGCAGAAGTGGCGCCATTAAAGAATTTTGAAATATCCAACTCTATCATGAATTCTGTATATATATGACCGGGGATCTTTATATTATTTGTACACAATATAGTTATGTCTTTTTGAAGTCTAGGATGAAAGTAACAAATCTCTCACATGGCATATAGTATATCCTCGACAACCAGACATCACATATGATCACTTCAAATCTGTAAAAAGTTTAACAATAGGAAGATTGCATCAAATCCAAATTCAAGATATAGAAATGTAAATTAAAGAAACATTTGTAAGTCTGAAGATGCACTGAACACTTGTAATGATTGCATATTTAATGTGAGAAACTGACCAGAGATATCCCAGGTATACTACATGACCTGTTGTTTATCTAAATGCTTTTTGTATCAAGTTTCCATTAATTAATTTACAAAGTAAAAACAAAGTAAAAGTATAACATATTAATTATAAAATACATGAAAATCACTCCGCCACACAATACCTAAAAAAAGGACATCTATCCCAAAGGTATCGGAATTGTTTGCATTAATTTTATATGTATTGATTTGGATTAAAGAATTACAAGTGATACCTTGTAGATTCTAACCAATCAATTCTTAGTACCAGTATATGCCAAATTCTACATTTTTCTGTATGTTGTCAAAATCTATTTTCAAGTATTACCGGCTCCAATGCAAGTTGGACCTTCTCATAGCCTCACCAGACTCTTCAGAGCTCTTACATCCCACTTCGTCATAATCGCCATTTGCATATTAGTTCATTTTTGTAACGTTCGTACCCTCAGGGGGGGAGATTTCCCAAAGATAACCTTTCATATTGGCACGTTTGACAAATTTTATAAACAGGCCTCATTTGCCATTGAACTGAATCTCCCAATGTTCGCTGTAGTTTTATGAGTGTATGATGTACAATACAACGTTAGTTGCTTGATTTATTGCCTCACTGATTGACATTATATTAATTTTGTTTGTCATTTTGCCGGTTGATTTATTGGTAAATAAATTTTGTTGCTTGTTTGGTTGTTTGCTTGATTGGTTGTGTCACTGGTACGTTGATTGGGATGTCAGTTGGGCGTTTTGAGGCATAAAATGAAAACATCAAATTCCTAACCCTTGAAGGAAGGTAGGGTACCCGGTCACCCGGCTACCCAGTTTTTTACACAAACCCTATTTCCACGGTTGGTTGGAAAATTTCTGAACTGTGGCAAATTGAACAATATGAGCCAGATGACCAAGATTGGTTTGGGATAAAAAGATCATCCTATAGTTGGCCTCGGGGCCTACACCGGGCAGATATATTATATAGGATAATCCCAATATCCTGAACCTCATATAGGATAATCTCTATTTATTCTTAATATAACAAATCTTGATCTTGATCTGTTTGATCTGTAAAATGAAGTCTCAAATATGATTGGTCAGTTCTTGTGCTGCACCAATCTGTATTGCTTCTAAGATTGTCCACTTTGATCATCTCCGTCGCAATACAGAAAATATTCATAAGGAGGGGGCATTCTCACACAATAAAAACACTATAGAATGATTTAAAGTGCAATACAGGATATATTCTGCTCTTGATATTCAATATTGGCACTCAACTTTGTCTCGTTTCAATGTATTGCACTTCAAATCATTCAATAACTTATACTATAGTGACATCTTTCATAGTAAATAACAATACTCAGTTTAAATACAAGATTAGCATTATGCATATGACATCTTTACAATCAAGATATTACAAACCACACTTTCTTTTCTTCATCACACCATTCAAGTAAATAGATGGAAGGATTGCATAGATAGAAGTCTCCTTTACTACTTTATAAAA